TTAGGCTGAAACTCCTTACCGGAAAACAGGCGTTAAGCCTAAGCCTAAAATTTAAAGTGAAAACCTGAATATTCTGTAAAAAATTCAGTCAAAAAGTACTGAAATTAGAAAATAACAGCAAAATTTCCACTTTTTCATTTTTAGCAAATGATCAAAATTTAGCAAATGAAATTTAGCAAGTGAGACTATTTTAGCAAATGAGCGAGTTTAGCAAATGAGCATATTTAGCAAGTGAGCATTTAGCAAAAGATCATCAAGCTAATGAGTATTTGCCGAAATAGTGTCAGGTTTTTGCTTTTTCAAAAAAAAAGGATGGCTTACTCTTGCCAGCTGATTATGAATGTCGAAGAAAAAAAGTTTGGCGGTTGATGCGCACTGAACCTCATAAATCGTTTCCACAAAGAATCTGCAAGCATTCGTCATTTTCCCGAATTTCGTTGTTATTTTCTTTCACCTGACATGATGCGACAAGGTTAATGTGCCTTTTGGATTTGAAGTTGATGCGACCAGGTCGTATAGAATAACGGAGCCGTCTAACCAATGAAAGTTGTTTCTGGAATATTAAAATATTAAAAAGACAGTCACCGCTGACCAAAAACGTACAAATTATCTGAAAATCCTAAACAAAAATATTGCGAATCCGAAAATGAGATTTCGAGCTTCTCAGCTACCAGCCTGACCACGTCTTCAACAGATAATCGAGAATGGAGCACAACTTCAATTTGCTGTGAGTCGAGCAGCCGAATGAGGGCTTTCGGCCGTTTTGAAGCCGTCGCTATTCTGTTTGGGTCGGTCATATGTTTCAATTGTCTATATCATTCCAGAGTAATTGGGATTTACTGAAAAAAACGAATTAGAGAATAGATTTCGAGCAAAACAAGACAGAAACAGAAGCAAAAAAGGAGTCGTTCTTTTCGAAACAAAAAACTACAGTAATTTAAAGGAACATGAGAAATTTGATTGAAGAGTTTCGCAACGAAATACGGAATTTTTCAAAAACATGTTTTTAGAAAAAATTTATTAATGTCTGTCAAAACTCTGAACTTGCTTCTTTAAACATCTAATTTAAATAGGATTTTCTGAAAAAAAAAACAAACTAGAGAATAGATTTCAAGCAAAACAAGAAAGAAACCGAGTGAATACCAAAAAAACATGTAACTACAGTAACTTAAAGGAGCATGAAAAGTTTGATTAATAGGCTTCGCAACGAAATATTTTAAAGGTGGTGTACGGTGAAATTTTTCATTGCATCAAAATGTGCAGAAATGCATGTAGATTGACATAAAAATAAAGAAAAAATTCAAAAAAAATTCCTACATCGAGAAAAACGCATCGAAAAATACGCTGAAAGCCCTTAGGGAGGAGGTTTTTTCTAGGCCGCCCGGTGAGTAAAAGCGCGCGAATTCAAATTTTTAAAATTTTTTCGCTCGTTTTCACTGTTTTTTTTCAAATTTTCCGATATATCTGGAAGAAAAGTTGACAAAAACCTGGAAAACTCTTGAAAAAACCGAAAAAAAGTGAAAACGAGCGAAAAAATTTTAAAAATTCGAATTCGCGCGCTTTTACTCACCGGGCGGCCTAGAAAAAACCTCGTCCCTAAGGGCTTCCAGCGTATTTTTCGATGCGTTTTTCTCGATGAAGGAATTTTTTTTGAATTTTTCTTTATTTTTATGGGAACCTACATGCATTTCTGCACATTTTGATGCAATAAAAAATTTCACCGTACACCACCTTTAAAACATAAATTTTGAAAAATCCAAAGTGTTGAGTCAAAACTCCGAAAAAACTTTTCCAAAAAAGTATTTTTGTGTTAATTTCAAGCAAAAAAATCGAAATTCAAACAAAGAATTCAATACAACTCCATACAGGTTCTTGTCGCACTACCAGTCTTTTTGAATTCAAGTTACGATTTCGACTTGAAAGAACGTTCAGAGGCAGAAAAACATGTGTTTTTTTTTCGAATTTACGCATTAATAAGCGTAGAAGCAATTAAAACGGGTGAACATATGTGTGGTGAAAGCGACTGGAAAATAAAAGGAATGTTCAAAACGAAGAGCACCATCAGTATGCGTCTTGAGGTCGAAAGATATTGATCAGAAGACATAGGAGATGGGTTAATACCAGTATGCACGGGTAGAAGACACCGCCTCACTATCTGAAGCATCAATCTAAACATGCAACCCCAAAAAGGAGAAACAAATGATAGAATACTCTTTGACATAGATATTATGTGGGAAGCAAGGCCAAAGAAACATCTATGTCCGGAGGAAATAGGAAAATTCATGGAGAGAGGGAGAAGGTTTCCCAAATTATTCTAGAAGTAAAAGTGAAGAATAAGTGGTGGTATTGGTGGATTAAAATGCTAAACAGGCGGGTGAGAGGACATAATGACGCACCGGCGCCATGACGTAATTTCGAAAGAATAGAAGAAACTTTCGAAAATACATCTGACTGTTGAACGATTTGGAAAATTGAAAAAAAGATCGTATCGAGTTAGAGAAAGTGACAAGTGAGTTGAGGATAAGTCACTAGGACTTTTTCAATGATGGGATTATTGCTACAGTAATCCAGAGTGGAAGTTCTTTTTTCAAATTGATGCCTTTATGAAGTTAAAAAAAAGGTAATTTGGTCTCTCCAAAGAAACATCTGGATTGAAAAGAAATGAAATTATAAAAGAGGCGAAAAAAAGGGAATTGACTGGATATGACATAACAGCTGATAAAACGCGAACGCCATTCTCTTTCTTCTTCTTCTAATCCTGTCTTTTCATCACTTTGGGGTATCACGGTGCAAGGATGACAATAAAATGGAAATAGAATAAATCTGAATGGGTCAGCTGATTGCAAATGGAGAATGCAAAACTGTGGAAAAAGAAAAAGGCGGTCATAAAAAGACAGGGATAAGAGGAAGAAGATGTATAAATTAGAAGACGTGGTTGAAGGAGTCTGAATGAGAAGGCGTGATTCTTTGGGGATGGAATACTAATGAGATCTTCTTAAGTAGAGAAAGAAGACAGTCATTTGGGAAGGTGTCAAGAGTAGAAAAAGAGAAAAGTGAAAAAAATAAGAAATATAGAGTCAAATAACACTTCAGAAGGCGTTGCTATGACGAGAAAGGAATGAGAAAAGAAGGAGAACGAATTATGTATTTTGGCTTCTTCAGCTTCTCATATGCTCCATATATGAATGTTGATTTGCTCTGGGTTGATTGGAAAAATGGAAGAATAAGAACACCAGGAATATCAAAAATGAAACAGAAGAGAAGGGTGATAAAATGAAATCTTGCAACAAAGTATTTTATAGTTTCAGATTCGGTTTTGGAAAAAAAAACCTTCGAAAAAATTTTTCACCTGTTCGTTTTCTGATTTTTCAAGTCACAAAATGCTCTCTAGTCAGTGCTCTATACTAATTATCACATTTTTTCTTTTTTTTTCCCCATTTTCAAATTTCAGACCTTTCCCAAAATACATGTAGAAAAAGCTATAAAAAGGTGATGGCATAAAAATGAAAAGCAGAGAAAAAATAAACAGTTGGAAAGGCATTGAAAAGGAGGTGATGGCAAAAACGAAAAATTCTCAAATTGAATAAACATGCTTGTATAAGGGAAAAAAATTAAAATAAGAAGAAGAAGACGTGGGCGGTTATTAGCATAATCATAGTGATAACAGCGTCGAAAAAAGATACAGATGGAGGAGTGGGAAAGTTGATTGTATTGGTGTGAGAAAAGCTGGATTCAGCTAGTGTTGAAGAGGATGCGAATGCCCAAAATGCCACGTCATAAATTTGATTAAACATCTGTTCGTGTTAAATCAGAAGAAAAAGTAGAAGAAGAAGAAACTAAACCTATGAAGCGAATGTAATTAGATGATGTTTAGATGATGAGGAGGTGTTGGAATGTAATAAGAGTTATGATAATGTTTCAGTTTAAGACTTAGAGAAGTATTTTATTGTAAACAAGGTTATGGTAAACAAGGTTATAAGTTCAGAAAATTTTGGAAATCTCTGAAAACTGTGTGCAAGAGCCTCCAGTTTTCGTCCAAGAGGGTCGCGGGAATCCTAGTGCTAGGCCATTGTGTGGGCAACTTAAACGAGAATTGATGGCATTTTTAGGGATTTCGTGTTTTTCCGAATTTTTTCGAAGCAATTTTATGAGAATAGATAATTTTGGGAACATCCTAATACAAGAAAAAAACAAAAAAACCAGTTGGTTAGAATCCCCTTTAACAGTATTCTCTTCCCGGTTCTGATCAGGGTCCCTTCTGGTACAAAAACATGAAAAGAACGAGGAGATCATAAAGAGAAGAAATCAGTGAATCGAATACATTGACTCGTTTCTATTCAGGACTATACAACACGCCGTCCTCAGAAATTGGAATCGTTTCGCCTCAACTCACCTCGCTCTTTTTGATGTACCGTGTTTTTCCCACGCCCTTTCCCGAAGTTGAAAAAAAACACCGTAAACAGGAGTTTCTATGGTTCAATGGTGTGGTCAGAGAAAGTGCAAATTGGTGAAACATTTCGTGGATGGTGACTTTGCGCGTTGTTCGGCGACAGGAAGATAAACGAGTTGAATTCTCTGATTCTCTCTTGATGAAGTACTCTCTCTTCGTCTTTTTAGAAGAGCCGAAGAATCGGGTGAAGGGCAATGCTAATTTATGATAAAGATACAGTTCAAAGAGAAAAGCCGCAGTATAACCGGAATGTGTTCGGAAGTGAAACATTTCGTAACGGTATTTGAGTCAGTGTGTGTGGTCATCCGATTTGGGTTTACAAGGGACATTAAAAAGTTGTCTACTTGATTCATGGTTCTGGAATGTAAGTGTAAGATCAGAAAATCAACCCTAAAGACAGGAAGAACGAATCTGGATATTTGAGACAAGAGTAGTACTTTAAAAATCTTTGAAAGTTAAAGGCTGTTTGAAAAATGCTCGAGAAAATTCTGAAGATCTTTAGATAGAAAAGTAAATACTAAAAATTCTATAGATACAGCGTTCAGATAACCACACAAACCGATAAAACTTCGACACAACTTGGTATCTTATTTGCAAAATAAGAAACTGGAAGGGTTTTTGATATCAAAGCAATAGAAATCGCACGAGAGGAAAAGGCACTTGACGGAGAAGGTGGATGAGATCGGGAGAACGAAAGAAAAAAGATTTACTTAAGAAGACTCAATTGCGGCCTTCGAAATTGAATCGTGTGAAGAACTAAAATAGGAAAAAGAAAGGAGAACAAAAAGAAAGAGATGTATCCAGGTCTTGAAAACAATTATCACAAAAAGAATCATACTAAAAAGAATAAGAAGTGAGAAAAAGCGGAAGAAGTTGGGATTCATAGGTCACTGAACATGTTCAACACCTACCAATTAAAGTTTTGGGAGGTAGAGAAGTGGACATGGGAAGGGCGAAAATAGGGGGACAATGTTGTGGAAGGAGGAAAGGGGGTCTTTTGTTCCTGAGGGGGCTTGGAAGCGGAGGGCAAGGCAAGCACACGCATTCGGATGATGGCCAACAAGGTCATTTACAACGTGGCAATCAGAAAAGAGACAACATGATATATTAGGTGGCAGAAGGTAGATCGGCTAGTGGTCACTTCCACAGATCTGTAAAGACAAAAAAAAACAGGGCAGGATTAAAAAAAACGGTATTGACACCTGAGTTTCTAAGACTTTTTAAAAAAATTCCTGAAAACGCTGTTGAAATTTTGAAAAAAAAGACGGCTACGAGAGTTTGAATTATCGCGCAGTGAGAAACCTAGGACACGGCACCGGGCCGCCTTTTTGACATGACATGGAGAGATTTCGGTTTCTTTGAAAAATTTAGGAAAATACATCACTTTTTAACCATTTTAATGCAACAAAAATAATTTGTTGGAGTTTAAAAAGTTCAATTAGAGCCATAAATCGAGTGGAATATAAACTTAAAGTTTTCCTATGTTCTTGTTCCCAGAAATAAATCCAAAAAAAAAAGAAGACAAAGAACGTTAATTAGTGGTGGTTAGTCTCTCCCAGAATTCTTGGACATAATCCGAACAGTTTGCGTGAATAAACTAGATGCAAGTACGGAAGACACACTCAGTCAGTTCTTCTTAACGAGGTGAACAAATGAAGCTGTTGGGTGGCGGAAAGTGAATGAAGAATGAATAATTCACACGAGGGCGGCATTTAATGCCATAAATTGGTTTTCGAGGTGTAGCGATGTTCTCCTCCTCTTCGTGCGGGTAATCCGATCTGAACGGAGAAAAGGGTAAACGGTTTGTCGGACACGAAACAAACAATTGGAATGGAATAAGTCATCATTCATTCATCCAGAAAACTTCAATTGAAACAGAAAAGAATCAAAATCCAATGTGGTGGAACAGAACAAAAAAGGAAGGAAGAGAAGAGTCAATGCAAAACCAGGACATTTGAAATAGAGAGTCAAGTGGACATCATGGTAGTGACGGTTCATCCTTCGTGTAGGTGTCTTCCCGCCAAGTCACCCACCGGTCCAAGGACGCCTTCTAACAATTACCTGGCATCGCGCCAGGAGACACTTCAATTAAATCGTCACAATATGGAGAAACGTCCTCCGATATATAACAGAGCTGATTAGATTTTATTTACTTGATGTGCAAACTTGACCTTGGATCTTATTGCGACATTATGAAAAATTTTGATACTGGGCCTTTTTTTTAACTGACCCGGAAAAAAATTATATTTTTTATTTAAAAAAAATAATTTTAAAGATTTCAAATTCATCATATAGGCACATGGAATACTGACTCAGAAACAGCTTCAACAAGGAATAAAACATTAAATGAACCCAAAAAAATATTGGTGGTTTTTTACTGATTTTTGTACTTCAACGACTTCTGGAATGTCTTATTGCCAATACATTTTTTACACAATGGCATCATATCCAGCTCCATGACTTTGTCTCTGAAACCAATCACTTTTTATATCGCATTTTCAGAAAACATACTTGTAATGAAGAATTTTATCACACCCTCGACATCTGTAGCAGCTGAGACAAAATGCCTTTCCGAATAGATGAACAACTGCTCCAGTCACATTTTTGTCACAAATAAAGCAGTGATGACCTATGAGCTCCAGAAAATCATCCCTACAGTATGCCTGTCCATTCTTCTCATAGTGCTCATGTCCGTTGAATGGTCGAGCACATTTGAAGCATCGAAAGTGCTGAAAAATTAAAATCCAGAAGATGTCAGGCATCAGAAGGAGATCTTACATGAATGTGCCAATGTTTGTTCATTGAAAAAAGGCTCTGCTCAATTTGTGGATCAATAACTTTTTTGCAATCAAAGCAAACTTCACATTGGAAATCGAAACATCGTGGACAGAACAATTCATCCTTTACCGTTCTTGCATCAGCTTCCAAAACTTTTTTACAAGTTGTACATTTAAAATGGTATGCATGATACGGCTCGTGTTGGTACATCAGAAGATCCTCGTCTTCCACTCTTTGTCTACCTGAAAACCTTTGTTGCATTATGGAACATTCTAGAAATACCCACATTTTGAGCAATTGTAAATTTTCAGTTTTGGCATGGTCTGATTGCAGGAGAAGCACAATATCTTTCCATGATAGCGGTATGCTCCGTTGGAGTTCAATTGAATATCACATTCGTCACAAGTGAAACAGGCAAGATGGAAGGAATAGTTGGACGAGTGCACGACTTGTCCAATCACAAATTTGTCTAAATAGGGGAAAAATTAAAAATGCTGAAGAGATGAAGTTGCATACCGCATTTGGCACACACCGGAGCATAAAGTCTATTGAAATCATGTTCACAATAAATGCGACCTTCGAACTGGAAGTAGGTGGTGCCGACCAGAGGATCCATACATTGAGCACATCTGAATATAGAGTACCGGTCAATAAGAACGTAGTTTTCAGTTGATTTTCAGACATTATGACTATTTTCAGGAGCCTGGAGCTCGACTGTCAAGTTCCCGATCACTTCGAAAACTTTGGAGGGTGTAAAACAGATCGAGATTGGAAGCTTTGCATTCACAGATTTTTTGGAAATACCTAGTTTTTCAACTATTTGCCGATTTCTGAAAGAGATCGATCTTTTTAAGACCGGTTTTGTAGTGAAACCGTGAAAAAGCAGGTGCCCTTGGGTCCCAGGAAGCGGGTCAGAAAAGACGCCCCAGCAAACTCGTAGGTCAGAAGAAATTTAATAATTTTGAAGTGGACGTGGGTTTGATCTATATCATGATATATTTCTTTATAATCAACGGGTTGCAACGCGTGCTTTTTTCGCTGTCGTTCAAAACTTTGATACTCAGCCAATGAAGTTCGGCAGCGAATTGAGAATTTTTACGAAATTTACTGGGGCGCGTTTGGAATTTTAAAAACAGGAACTTACAAAAAGCACCTCATATGCCATGAAGCACTTCCTAGAAGAAAATAAGGCTCATCTAACTCCAGCTCCTCTTTACACCTTTCACAACAACGTTTCCTTTTCCTAAACAAAAATTAAAATCAAAAAGGAGAATACGTTTTCTACTCGCCCACTATTCCTCTGTTCCGTAATTCTTGCTGATGACATCTGAAATTATACTGAAACGTATGGAACAATCTGCAACAAAACCAAGAAAAGAATCGATAAAAAGAGCGCACACTGATGACGAATCGCTTATCAAACTGTTTCTTTCTGTGTCCTCGCCGGGTCTGTATTTCTTCGAGAGTCTTGACGAGAAAGAGAACAGGAATGATTTTTTTTTTGAACACGAGAAACATTTGTATATTTTTGGATTTCAAATTTGGAAAAATTTTTACTCCTGATCTATCCGTTTTAAACTCAATCTGCACAGAGAGTTTCATGAACGAGATATATCGTAAAAGCTGTATTAGTAGGGCCGAGTCTTGAAAGATGTATTAGAACGGCCGCGTCTTCTATTGTTGCAAGGTTCCTCCAGAGGACCATTCAATTACATGGGGCTCTTCTAATACAGGTTTTAAGGTATCATTATATCCATATCTGATCCTGGTTTTTTGTATGATTTCAACCATGGGCTTGTGAAATCTGGTCAAAAGTTGAGAGGGTTTGGCTTTTGGACGGACATTGGCCAGGTTCTGGTCGGTTTAAAAACGGGTGTATAGCGGGCCATGATCAGATTTTAGTGGGAAATTGAAATTTGAAATACTACTAGTTGTCTGACGTTTTTGGGGTTTTGTCGGATTCAGTAGCGGTCCTATCCGGAATCTTATCAACCACAAACCAGAAATTGCCAGGCAGTCCCGAGATAATGAACCCTTAAAGTCAAAAAAAAGGCTCAATGTTAGAAATTTTATTATTCGGGGATAATTTTAAAATAATGAGAATATCTACACAGGACCTCCACCAATCATAGACATTGTTTTCTGCCTTTCCATTGTCAAAGCAATCGTTCTCGTTCTAGCCATCGTCTCGGTCCTTCTTCTAACCACTTGCTGCTCCAACTTCCTCAGTTGTCTCTCTCGGAACTTTTGACGAGCTCTCATGAGAACTTCATAAATTGTGTAAAGGTATCCGAGACCACCAACAAAAGTCATCACACAACCAATAATGAAAAGTACTGTATATGTCGTCTTCGTGAAATCAGAGTCCTCGTCAGCACTGAAATTGAAGATTAAAGAAAGAAAAAATTAAAGAAATATAGTAACTTACGTATTGGTAGATGTACAAATTAAAACAAGACCAATGGCCAAAATGAAACTGCAAACAATAGCTTGAATATTCATCTGAAATTGATTAAAATTTTTTAAATATTGGAAGTGAGTCAGGAGTTGGAAAGACTCAGAAATCGAAAATTAAACAAAATTTTGAAATACTAGACTACCGTAAAACATGTATTAGAAGGGCTCCTATAATAGGAGGGTCCCTCTAATAGAAGGGCCCTCCGAGAGGGGCTTGGAAAAATAGAACGGCCTCTGTAATAAAAGAGCCCTCCGGGAGTACCTTGGAACAATTGAAGGTCCGTCTTTCTAATACATGTTTTAAGGTAACATTCCTGAAAAAATCAAGTTAAAAAAAAAGAGAAAAATGATGAAATAATTGACATCAGAAGCGAGAATGATAATTGAACCAGGAGATGGACTATTATCAGTTATTCCTTTTTTAACACCTCTTTCTGTGATCAAGATGTATGAATTTAATATGTCAAGGCACTGCTCGACACTTGCAACCCTACCTAGGAACTTATTTGAGGAAACAAGAACCAATTTTTTCATGAGGGTCTGAGGTTAGGAGTATGATGCAAGAAAACTAGAAAGTTTATTATTACAAACAATGATGTCTAATTGCGTATCGAAGTATTGAAGGGGAGCACAGTTTTGACTCGAATTTAAGTGCTCATAAAAAGATTCGATTGTTTAGGTAGCGCACACATAAAAGACTTTGTGCCTGTCTTCTTCTTTAAATATTGTTTTATCATTCCGGAAAAGAAACCAAAACCAACGCAGAGAATAATTTTATTTCATAGAAATTGGAACCCAAAAATGATGCTTCTACCACTTTCCCTTCATGTATGTCTGGTTATGGTTTGCTTCAAATGCAGCTGTGTAGATTTCGAAGACCAGAGTTGCCGATTTTTCGGCTTGTTTTTCCATTGTATTGGCGATCAAATCAGTCGTTGCGTTGTAGGCGGCCTCGTCCCACATGTTCTGTGAAGAAGCAGAAATTATGGATTAGAACCATAAAAAACGGTATACCTTCATGAGAACTGTAAGCATCCAGTAGACGACAGTGTAGGAAAAGCTGTTGATGTAACGGCTGTCGAAGTAGGCGTAGAGGTTCTTGTACTGAAATTCAATACATTTATGACTACAGTAACCACATAGTGAAAGTATTTATTTTTAGTTTACTCGAATTGTGATAAACACACAAAACTGAAAAATATGTACCAAACGAATGACCTTCATCGTCATGCAGTTTGTAGAAGATTAGTAGACTATGAGTTGAAACAATTTTATACCGTTGCCACCATCTCACAGTTCACTCAATTCCCCGACCGAACGCAAGCGTTATACTCAATTTTTCAGTCAACTAGTTTCAACCAAACATACGCTGGTAGCCGTTGCAGCGTTATAGATCTTGGTCAATCCAGGTGTCAGATCTTGACTCCACCAGTTGTTGATAGCTTGTCTCTGAAACCATTGTTATCAATTAAGCACTATCGGCTCATTTAGAAGCTCACATTGTTCACCAAAGCGATGAGTTTCTGTTTACTGTAAGTGGAGTTGTCATAGAGAGATAGAGTCTTTGGATTTGGTTTTCCAGCTTTGTTCTGATTGAAGAATTGGTTCACAAGAGTTCTCTGAGCAGCGAACTTTCCAGTGTTGGTATTTAGTCCTTGAGCAAGCTGAAACCACTGTTTGAGACTGTCTGATTAATGAGATAGAAGATGTTACCGCAAAGGCATTTGCATTTGTTGCATGTGGAATAATTCTTGAGATTGCGGGATAGGAAACGGAGATGAATGCCTGTTGAGTTCCAACATGGGAAACAGTGTTTAGAACATAAAAGACAAGAGTAAAAAGCGGACAAACTCTCATGTTCGAAAACCGACTGAATGCGTGGTTTTTGATGGAGGTTGGACGTTTGGCCCGATGTGGCCAAATCCAACGGATTACCTGATTGAATTTAGAGAGAGGAAGGCAAAAAACCCTCCCCAATCGAAAGTTCACATCCATTTCAAGATTATCGCAATAGGGCGGAAAAAATGATCAAAAACTGATGTTGCAATAGAAATTTTAATGGGAAACTATGAGTATTGGTAGTTTCCTGTCTGAAATTGTTGACGAGAGTTTGATGAATAAGATAAAATTGTTCTCAAAGTTAACAGAATTCACTCGGGCTGATAAAATCTGGTTAAACTTTGGATATAAGACCTTAGAATCTCAAAAGTTGGTAGAAATATGATTTTAAGTCTGATTCAGAGCAACTAAAAATTTCAGAGCGATTCCTCAAATCTAGATATTGTTACGATTGTCCAAAGATGTAATGATTTTGCTGTTGTGATTTTCATGAGATGAAGCAACTTTGACAAGCGATAACTCAGCTCAAAGTTGAACAAATAAATTGAAATTTGGCCAGTTTAATGATGAATTATTCGCATTTTTACTCCAAGTTTTAGCCTAGTACAACGCTTTACTCAAATTTTATGCTAGTTCAAACCTGAGTATGGGTAATTATGCGCCGATTTGTGAATCTCGATGAATACAGTGCGTTGCAGGTTCTCACGTTCACCGATGCGTAGAGTCATAACTTGAGAGCTGTTAGAAGTATCGGCTCAATTTTTCGAAATACGGATTCGGGAAAACAAATTCCATCTAGTGGACCATTTTTGTAATGAAACCTTGAAAACTACCCGAGTTATCTGGAAAAGTCTGAAAATATGCCTTTTGCAACCGTTGCAAGTTTATACGTCCACTCCAAATATCAGTAGATCACGACCTCCAGCGAAGACGGAGGTGTCCAATTTTTATTCTGTACAACTAAAATCACTGTAAAAAGTTGTTTTCATTACGTGTTTCTCTTTCTTTGGGTTTGTATCATCTCATGGGATCTTTTGCCGACTGATGCTGGAAAAACTTCAATCGGGGCAGTCAGAGGAGCTGGATGGACCAAAAAGCTAGCTATGAGAAAACAACTAAATCATTCACACTGTCATATCGACTGTTTTCTCATCCGAAAATTAGCGAAAAAGACAGGATCAGCTCAAATCCTGCCCTCAAGATCCCAACCGTCTACCAGTACTGTCGTTTTAAACTCTTTGAAGTCATCAAGCAGACGGGTTAGAGATGCCTCAAAAATGATCATCAAAAGATCAATTATGGTCCCAGCTCCGACACCTATCGACGATCAAAAAGTACGTTGTCTCAACATCTTTCAAAAGTGTATCAGATCCAACTGGGGGAAGGTGTCAAAGTTGAACATGATCTACCAAAATAACCATAGCATGAATGTTTTTCATTCTAAAAAAGTATCTGACAAAATTATCACCGTTTATACCATTAACATTTTATTAGTTGTCAAATTTCGAGTGTCTTTTATGGGGTTATTCAGGGAGTCGGCAAGAAAGGAATAAAACTCCGCGAAAACTCGGA